CAGGAAAAGCTGTCAAAACACTGCAGTTATCCTGTTGCTTATCTCGGAGAAACTTTAATAGGTATAGGCATATACAGAAGCTGCATTAGCAGATGTAATTACATTATCATACAAATATGTAGTTTTGAACGTTGACTGTACTGTATGTGTATATTAATGTGCAGAGATGGTGTCAAAGCTTCTCTTGCAAGAAAGTCAAATGTCAATGTATCTTAATGGCTGGGGCCACAGTTCTTAATGTCAAACCCAGTTACAGATTTCTGAAGTGTATACAATAGGGCCGTATGTAATATAAATATGCCTATCACCTAACTAGGAAGATATGAGGAGTATGAAGAAATAGAGAACAAGAGAAAGAGCAAGAGGTGTTAGGAGAAGAAAGTAGGAAACTAAGCTAGACAGAGAAGAAAGAGAAAAGGGAGAACAGAAGGAAAAAGCTGACGGGTGTAATGAGTTGACTCATGAAAGAATAGGATGTGTGTTTAAAAAAATGCCAAGCTCCATCCATGGAAGTGATTACTGGTATATTCCTGGGTGAACTTGGTGAGTTGCTGGAGTACCAGCTCATCAATAATTTGTAGTTGGTTTTGACAGCAGTGGTAGTTAGAGAGCAATATTTGGTATTGTTTCCAAATGTGTTTCCAGCCTTCGAAATACAAGGTCATTAACTGGGTCTGAGACCCATTGCAAGATATATAAAAGAGTTGTGGGGATTGTCTCTACGGTGACAGGTAAATTATAGAGATAAGAGCCTTAGAGTGAGGATTATTTAGGCATCCATTTTCAAATGATGTCTGAAGTTTAAAACATTCATGCTGGATACAATGAAGAAGCTTTGAGGACTGTGGTTTATGGGTTGATAGTAGTACGTGGAAATATTAATGCCTTCAGGCATGATTATTTTATGGAGGCCTTGTTTTATTAAAATGTTTTTTGAGGCCTGGAGTAAATTGGGGGTTATCCAGGATTGTTATAAAGGTAATAAGATATCATTTAAATTTAATGCTTGACATTATACCATAGAGGCAATGTGTTACTTAAGGGACAGAGACCTCCACTACTCTTAAGTTGGTAAAAACACACATCTTTTTAGAAATCTAGGATCTAAAATAAGTAGTAGAATCAATTTCTTTAGGAATCTTAATATATAGGCTAGGACCAGAGATGCATTTTTGAGTACTGCCACCACAGCATTTTGTACTCTTTTTCCAAACTCCATAAGGCTACCTAGGGGAATAGGTAATATGCTAATATAGTGTTATATGGTTAAAACTAAGCCTGATGACTCCCAATGAAAATGGACATTCAACTTCAAGGGTTTTTCCTTTTTTAAGGCTTTATGAAGGCTTTATTCTGCAGAATTCTGCAGTTCCTTCCTATACAATGATAATTATTTTTCTTTGTGTAGCCAAAGTTATTAGAAAACTCAATGCAGAGTCCTTACATTCTGGCTAAAACGGTAAATACGGATTCCAATAGTATATATTTACACAGGCCTTGCCTACTATGAAAATTCCCTGCCGTAAAGTTCCTTTGCCAACCTCCTCTCCTTGTTGCCTACAAAGCCTTTGTTGGTGTCTCAGTAATAATTAAATTGTAAATCTATCTTTGTTAGGAAAAAAAAGAAAAGAATTGTCTCGGGGTCAACTGTATACATTCATAGCAATGTTGAATTAAAAAATGTGCTTATCTTGTTTAAACCATTTTATAAAGTGATTTTTTTTTTTAAATTTGCAATTATAGCTCCGCCAACCCCCCAATCCTATACAAATTGCTTCCTACTTACCTAGGTTTATGATGTGTTTGGATCCTTACATGTTGGGTGGCCCCACCAAAAGTCAAAGCATTTAATATGCTTTAAATTATTTTTCATCATGGTAATCCGCAGGAACGAAGCATCAAATATGATATAAACAGGGCCTTATGTGTCACGTAGAAGCAAAATGGGAAAACATAATGACAGAGGAAAGGTAAATGGAGCAGCTAGTGGACTGCTGAGGAATGGGACACATCAGGTCATCTAATCAAACTTTGTTTAAAGGTTAGGTAAACCAAACAACATAATACAGCCAGGGCCGGATTTACTCTTTCTGCTGCCCCGAGGCCGGGTTCCTCAATGCCCCCCCTCCCCCAATGAAGAATGGCAACCAGATGGTGGGGGCGACAGGGTTAGATTTAACTTCTTTTAATATTTTCTTTATTTTTTAAAAACTTTTTTCAATTTTTATTTATCTTATTATCTTTTACTTTTTATATTTTATCATTTTTTACTTATCACTTTGTTATTCTAATTATTTTTTTTACTTTTTTCAATTTTTATTTATTTTATTGTTTTTTTACTTTTTATCTTAACTTTATTGCTATCACATAGGAGCTAACAAGCCCCTGCGATAGTATTTGGAGGTGACAGGTTCTCTTTATTGAACCTGTCACCTCTAATACAGGAGTTCTAGCACAGTACTGTGCTGGTCTCCTGTGACAGCTGAGAGTGGAAGGCTGCGAGTGCAGCTCTCCCTTCTCAGTGTCTACACAGAGCAGAGCCGAGAACGTGCGCTCTCTGATCTCCATCCTGGACGAATGTGCCGTGGTCTTAGGTCCACCAGAGGAGCGGGGGACCCCGAAAACCCTGGCAGGAAGGGAGGCGGCCAGTGGCAGCCAGGTGAGGTGGGGACAAACCATGGAGGGGGAGGCAACGGGGGGGACGGAGCTGCACGCATATTACAAGTGAACTCTGCAACATCACTGGGATTACTTGTACTAAAACAGCAGCTTCCCCACTCTACATTTAGCCCTGCTTGCCCGAAGCAGGGCTAAATGTATAAACCCCCCCCCAAAAAAAAAAACTGTGCACCAATACCATTTTTCCTAAAACAATACAGACTAATGATTTCAGGACAGGGGTGGAGCACCAGAGCCAGGTCCCAGCTCAGCTTGTAGTTCTAATGAAAATGCCAAGTATCGGCACTGGTATCTGTGCATCCCTACTTTTAATCCTGCCAGAAACCCAATGCTTTGTGACTTCCTGTGCACTGAACTAAAACCTCAAACAATGTTATCATTATAAGCTTTTCTATCTATCTTCTGTGAGCTACAGAACTCCCTCCTCTATATGTAATGGAGACGAGAAGTCCTGTCCTAAAGTGACAATGTGGATCCTCCACAGATGCAGCAAATAGAGTGAGCGTTGTCACCCTACGGCAGGAATTGTGTTATTGGTAAATGTGAAAATAAATGTTAAAAAGGAAAAGAGAAACTAATGCAGCCACCACATCTATGGACTTGTAAGCTGCAATATATTAAATGTGGCTGTCCAATGTGCATGCTTTAATGTGCTCAAAGTGTGACCGATCCCTTAAAGAACATGCTACACCAAGGTAAACAAGTGAGTTCTGGGGACACGTCTTCAAGTATTTAGAATTTGTGTGTGTTCATATTTGTCTCAATGGTTATTTTGTATGTATGCTGTTTATTCAGATTGTGTCATGGTAATACGGATTTATTTAACCTCATCACTCTAACATTCAAAGCTTGTAATACATTATTGGTCATTGCTTCGGCATGTAATAATGTCATTATAAGTAGTATTGTAACTGACAAAGGTTGTGAGCAGAACCTGCACTATTACATTGACTTTACGCTGGCTTCATTATTTATTCAGCCAACCTCGTGTAACCATGTGCTATGTCAATAAAAATCCAGTTGCTGCATTTACCTTTGTGGGCCAGATGCTAGACTTAAATGCAAATGTTGTCCTTTCCATCCATTCCTGAAGGTTCAACTGCATTATTCCTCACTGACAGGAGTCAAGGAAGCACACCAATCACATCAGAGACCAGCTGAACTCCATCATTTCTTGACGTAATGATACGGGACGTTTCAACACTAGAGGTGTATTTATAATCAATTTGCAGAGCTGTTGGTTCTGCGAATCTCTGTGGTTGTTGTGTGTGAATGGATGCACAAAACAAACATTCTGGTATATTTGATAAGTTGAATGTATACTTATAATACTGCATTATGGCCACTAGGGGAATCTGAGGCGCATAGAAAATAAATGCGTTTTTCCTATGCTCCTCAGTGTCATCTAGTGGCCATAAAGCACTATTACAAGATGATATTTGAGAATACATTCGACATGAAGAAAATATAACAAGAAGGTTCATTTTGTGCATCCATTTGCACAGAACAAACAGGGCAGGGCCAATGGCTCTGCTCTGCAAACTGTTTATAAATAGACCCCTAAGCATATTCACTTGTCATACAAGCCAGAGGCAGACAGGTGACATTCAGCATTACTACAAATGCAGCTCAGCAAGCATGATAAAATTCAGAGACATCTGCAGAAATCTGAAAATGAAAAAAGTGGCATTCCTTGAGGCAAATGTGAATAGTAGATAATACCAAATTGCACATGCCATCAGAAACAGCAGGGGACAGAGTGTCACATGTATTGGATTGTTTGTTGTGATTTAATGTACCTCCTC